TATAATGGGAAAAACTTCCTGCCACAGAGATTAGTAGTGCTCTGTGTTTGCCATTAAACAGTTTCTGCAAGGCGTCGTTACACTGAAGTGCTTCTCCAGCTTTACTCACAGATTTGTAATTCTCATTTCATAATTCCAGATTGTGACTGTCCAGTCACTAAACTTTGTGCCTTGTACCAAAAAAAAGAATTGAAATAATTTTCTGTCTCCAAACCTCTTGAAATATATGGAAAGGAACAACAAGTAATGAACATGGGACCAGTGCAAAAGGTTGTATGTACAAGGCAGAAATATAGCTTGAATGTTGATAAAATGCAAGCTCAAGCAAGCCTGTATATTTCAGCCATAAATCTAATGTGGTTAATCTTCATTTTTAACTTCAATTACCCTTGGCAGGTTCTTGTGCTGTGAGTAAAAAAGGTAGTAGTACTACCTATACACTTATAGGTAGTACTACTACACTTATACTTACCTATATACACTTACATATTTCTACTGGCATAGAAATGAATATATCTGTTTGATTTGCAAACATACAAAATACATCAAAATGATATGTGGAAACGTTAAGGAGAGGTTGAGGTTTTTCTTGAGGTGTGTTTTAAAAATATTTTAAAACTCTTCTGTTGTATGATGCGAAATCCACACTGCAAAGGGAATATTCTGCAGTAGTAGCCACTACAACAGTAAGGACCTTAAAAATGAGACAATGTCTTGCATTGAGAGGTGTCTGGGAGAATCAGTCACCCACCATACTGATAGCAGGAGAAAAGAGGAGGTTTCATCAGTTCACCAAAAGAAAATTTTCCCCTTTATGCCCTCTTCTATGTATATGCACATAGCACAGAAGGCAGCAAAGTTGACTGACACTTTGTAGAACTCTTGATGATACAGTCTAAACTAGGTGGCCATCACTGATTCTGCTTAGTGGAGGACAAATGTCACAATATCCTTGCCAGTGCACTGTTTCCTGGGGAACTTGTATCTCATTTCAGGAGAGCAGGGCTCTGCTGCACAGGGCTTCGCGCTTGGCACTGTGCTGCCTGGAATGACCACCTGAAGCTTCACTGTTGAATTGGAAGCTAGATATCAAAGAGTCTTGCACCACAGGCCCCTCTTTCATGAAATATCCAGGATTTTGTAAAATATCCAGGATCCAAAATACATAGTTAAGCACTCAATTTTACAAAAAGGTGAAGGTTTTGGTACCAAGGTGATGCATGGCTTGGATTGCATTTCATCAGGCAATGCTATGCACCCTCAGGAAGTCAGTTAACTGTAATGATCTTGCTTTCAAAACATTTAAAAATCAGATGTTAACTGAAATATCCCACCTGAGTGCAACAGCACCGTGACTGTATCAGCTATGTTACTATTTAATTGTGTTTAGCACTAGAAACGTACGGTTGTGACACTTCAGTTAACTTTTTGGTATGAAAGTGCTGTTCATTAATGAAAGGATGGATTGAGACGTGTTTGTGGGGAGTTTGATGCAATTTCAAGTACCTCGTGAATGAATGAAACCTGCTGTTTCATTTGTTTTAGGATAGCCTGTTAGCCCCCACATATTTAAGTACCTCAGGAAATCCACTCAAGTGGAGATGGAATTTGTCTGTGTATTCTTGACAGAAGAACAGCAGGCAAAAATGTTTGTCTGGATTCCTGCAGCCAGGGAGACCCCTGATATCCAGGCTCGCTGCCTCTGCTGCTAATTCAGCGCAATGCGAGGCAGTCCATCTGCTTCAAGATCCTCGTGTTTAGGTTCCCACAGAACATCATGTGAGTATTCACTACTTTGACAAGATAAGCCTCCAAGAAAAGCGAAATCACAGAATCATAGAATGGTTAGGGTTGGAAGGGACCTCAAAGATCATCTAGTTCTAACCCCCCTGCCATGGGCAGGGACACCCTCCACGACACCAGGTTGCCCAAAGCCTCATCCAACCTGGCCTTGAACACCTCCAGGGATGGGGCATCCACAACTTCTCTGGGCAACCTGTTCCAGTGCTTCACCACCCTCTGAGTGAAAAATTTCTTTCTTATATCTAATCTAAATCTGCCCTCTTTCAGTTTAAAGCCATTGCCCCTTGTCCTATCACTACATGCCCTTGTAAAAAGTCCCTCTCCAGCTTTCTCACAGGCCCCCTTTAAGTACTGGAAGGCTGCTATAAGATCACCCCGGAGCCTTCTCTTCTCCAGCCCCAACTCTCTCAGCCACAAAAAAACAATTTTGACTGTAACTGCATGTGAGATTACCTGCAGTAATCTGTAAATCTGTAAACACAAACATGAAACAGCGTGGCCAGCAGGAGCAGGGAAGTGATTGTCCCCCTATACTCAGCACTGGTGAGGCCACACCTGGAGTACTGTGTCCAGTTTTGGGCCCCTCACTTCAAGGACATTGAGGTGCTGGACCACGTTCAGAGAAGAGCAACAAAACTGGTGAAGGGTTTAGAGAACTTGTCCTATGAGGAGTGGCTGAGGGAGCTGGGACTGTTTAGTCTGGAGAAGAGGAGGCTCAGGGGGGACCTTATTGCTCTCTACAATTACCTGAAAGGAAGTTGTACGGAGATGGGGGTCGGTCTCTTCTCCCACGTTATGAATGACAGGATGAGAGGGAATGGCCTCAAGTTGCGCCAGGGGAAATTTAGGTTAGATATCAGGAAAAATTTCTTTACAGAGAGGGCTGTGAAGTATTGGAACAGAATGCCAAGGGAGGTGGTGGAGTCCCAATCCCTGGAGGTGTTTAAAAACCGTGTAGATTTGATGTTGAGCAATATGGTTTAGGAACCCTGACAGTGCAGGGCGAATGATTGGACTCAATGATCTTGAAGGTCTCTTCCAACCAGATGATTCTATGATTCTGTAATGGAGAGCCACCAAGATGGTTGAGACTAGAGTGCACTCCTGTGAGGAAAGGCCAAGGGAACAGGTCTTGTTCAGCCTGGAGAAGGCTTTAGGGGGGACCCAATAGCCGCCCCCCAATATTTAGGCAGAGGCTGTAGAGAACACAGAGCCAGGCTCTTTGCTGGCTTGTGTGATAGAATGAAAAAGAGATCATGGTCACAAATTGATACAGGTGAAGTTCTGACTTGATGTAAGGAAAAAAATTCTCTGTAAGGAGTGCAAACACAGGAGTAGGTTCCCCAGAGTGGTTGTGGAATCTCCATCTGTGGAGCTTTTGAAGACCAACCAGGCAAAGTTTAAGCAACATAGTCTGAAATCACCGTGACCTTGCTTTGAGCATAAGGTTGGACTGCATAGCTCCCAAGGTGCCTTCTGGCCTGAATGATTCTATGATTTACAGTGGA